GGTTTTGGGGTGGGGGAGCGTTCAGGTCCCACCTGGCCGCGGCTTGTATCTTATCCCCTTTGTGTGATGCTGAGTTCTTGCAGATGTAGATGTATCCTGGCTGTTGTACTGCATCCACCGGTGTCTCTTTTAGGAATAGTTGTATTTATTGTATTTTCATAAATATATATGTTTTGGGGAGGAGATTTCCTCTGAACTACTCAAGCCGCCATCTTCCCGTGATCCTCTACTATTCATATTTTATGACGCAACTTAAATGCCCCTTTTGCACATTGTGCTTCTCTGATACCCCTTGTTAATTTAGTTCCCCATCCTATTTTCATTGCACCCATTATGTAATCTTCCTCTTTCAGCAATTTTAATTAATTACTTGTGTGATTATCTGTTTAAATATCTAGCTTTGAAATCAGCATCTCTATAACGACAGGGAAAGAGTCTGTCTTGCTGACACCTGTAACCCCAGCACTGAGCACTGCTTAGCACAGAGAAGGTACTCAGCAAGTATTTGTTGAGTAAGAAGGGCAGTGTCTGCCTTCTTTATCCTTTATGCTTCATGACAATTAGCCTACTTCTCTGGATTGATTATAAGGAGCTTAAAGGGGCTTAATGACATTAGATTATGAACTTTTACAAAAAGTCTTAAAGCTATGGTTCAGCTTTTATAAACCTTACTTTTAATGTTTATTATCACCTATCTTTTAATATTAATTTGAGTTTAAGAAAATAGGTCCACAAAGAGGATCAGGTTTTAAAAGATAGACACTCAAATATTGGCACTAATTAAGGTGACTAATTTAAAATAGAATCTGTTTTCTTTGTTGCTGGCAAACTCTTAAGTTCTCTGTCTCTCCCTGGCCACAGTAACTGTTCCCCCTGCTATTCCTTTTGCCTGTATTTGAGACTTAAAGCTTTAAGAACATTGTGGTTTTGAAGCTTGTTAATGCTGTGAACAAATTTGTTTGGGTGGTGAGCAAATTCCTTATTCAATCTTCAGAAATAACAATGCAAGTATCTCTTATAATGCCATTGTTAAAGCTGAAATGTTGAAGACTTGTAGGACAGCAGAGGTGAGTTTCTATAGAGTAACTTAACCAGTTTAGAAAATGGCTTGTGCCTGAGCAAGCCACTTCATTCCCACTTCAATAGCGCCTGTTGTCACAGGTCCTTCTCTTTATCAGAATCTCTGGATTTGAAGGACTTTATGGATACTTAAGTGATCAGACATTAATGTTTCAGACTAATCAAAAAGGGAGGAGAATGATGATGTTAATATAATTTTCATCTGTTGAGTTTCATTTCTGTAGTTTTAACTTTGGCAGTTTCGTGGTGTATTGAGATCTTAGGTTTTTAGAATCTTTTTTCCCTTTTCAGAGTTTTAAAACTAAGTGAAGTAGAAAACAGTAGTACCCAGCACCAGATCTCTGAAGATTTTGTCATTTTTGCCAACAGGGAAAAGAACAAAGTAAGTCAGGAGTACTTTAAAATCTTTTGCATGTGGCTGTCTTTGTGTATAAGCATTTCAGACACATTTGATTATCAGATTCATTTGCCTTTTAGTGTGACTGAAAAAAGCACAATCCCATAAAAGTCAGTTTGTTTTGTCTACCTGGGTAGCTAGTCTTAGCCCCATATACATGTGAGATTTTTTAAAAATTGACAATATTGGCTTTATCTTTTGCTTATTTCTATTTACTTTCTGGGTTTCTCTTTATAAGTTTTATTAATGAATTGTCAACCTTTGAGTTTAATTGTGTAAAGTTAGAGTAAGTTGGGATAGATACCAGTCTTTAAAAATCACATACCACGCTTTAACTCCATATATTTCCTTTCCTTAACATACAAATTAAGAACATGAAGAAAATCATGCAGAGGAGAAATTTCCAAAAGATTATCTGCTTTTTATTTGCTGTATTATACTAAGGCAAAAATCAGAAGGGCAAGTGAAGTAGCAATCTGTAACTTTTGTATTTGTTTTTGTCTATTTTCATATTTTATACATTAAAAACTTTACTGTAATAAAATATTTTTACTAATTGGAGAATCAGAAATCTGATTCAGAATTTTCTCAACTGAGGAAAGAATTGTGGGTGTTAGAGAAAGGTTGGTTGTTTTACCAAATTTGTTAATACAATTTTGCCATTGACTGCATTTAATACAACTTATCATATCTTTTTATTTCTTTCCATTTGATAGAATGAGAACTTATTCACTGTTACAGCTTCTGGACGGGTGGTTAAAAAAAGTTTTGACCTTCTGGATGATGACCCAGAACAAGAGGTATTGCATTAGCTGGATATAACAAACCAAACTAGTGCATATGTGCCCTGTGGTTTTTAAATCATTTGCTTCCCAAACCCTGGAATAGAGAATGGGGGCGAGGATCTCCATGCAAATTAAATTGGTAGATTGTACATGCTATTCCAATCAATACATCCCCATCTTCCTTTCTTTTCGTACTGGAATTATTCATAAGATTTGTTTGCAGAAAAATTCATAGGACCAAAATGATTTGAAACCACTTTTAGCTTATTGTTTTATTTTGTTAATATGTACACTTTCTAGGAAAATTTCTTAATGGAATATTATTAAATTGAATCCTGATGACTTTATGGCTTTTGGCTTATATTTCACTGACTAGAGTGAATATGTTTGTTAATGTTCATGGGCCTGGGAAGTAGGGTCTAAGGGTGTAGTAAGTCAGTTCAGTCTGTGGCATCAACTTGACATTGCCAGTCACTAAGCTAATGCATTTATCCTTTTCTCTTAAACAGACATTGGAAGTTCTTAGAAAATAAACTGTCTTAATCCATTTAGACCAGATAACTGTATTGTTTGTGTGACCATTTCTAGATGGAAATAGTAGAGTAGCCTGCTAAGAATAACACTTTAAAATCTTTTTTAAAAGGTAAAGGTGGCTACTCTCCAGTATGTAGTTACTCTCAAAAAAGAAAAAAAGCGTATATTCTTTTGGACCACAGAAATCTATTGAGAACAAAGCAGAGAGCTCCCTACCCTGTTTGAAAAACTGTATGAAAGAAAGACTTACTACAGTTACCAAAAGGTAGCAAGAATATTTAAAGGGGAGAAGGTAGTAGCAAAGAGAGAGATACTCTACATCATGAGGTTGGAAAACAAAAACTTTTGGCCTATAAAGGAAAAGTTGAAAGGGGTTGTGACTATTTTAAATCTATAAAATCACTAACACCCAGGCAATAAGTTACCCACTGAAGTCTGACAAAGGTAAGGTTAAGGCAAAAGAATTAAATTTTTAAAAAGCACAGGTAATAAGTCTGTGTAAGCTTTTTGTCATAGATGGTAAAGGCAGAAAATATAAGTCAATTAAAAAGCAGTTTGACCCAACATGAGTGAAGGATTATTATGCAGTGATCAAGAGGAGCTTGCTGTGTCTGTCAGAATGCGCCTTCCTGTGGTCCGTCCCAGGATCTCTGGGCACTGATCGGCTTTGCTGTGAGGCTGTTGGAGTCCTAGGCTTTCTTCCCTGAGACAGAGTTCAAGGTTAGGTTTTCCCTCTTGTTCACCATCATGAATCTTTTCCATCTAACGTCTCTTACTCCAGTCCTGTTCTGTGGGTAGGATTCACTTCCTAATATTCTCCCTCAAGTATAAATAGCCATTTTGCTTTCTTCAGGGAACAAAAAAGAGCTTTTTTAATGGAGGATGACAAATTGAGTCATAAATATTATATCATGGATTTTCTTTTACTATTGAAGTGACTTGTGTTTTTTTGTTGGAGAAAAATTCCAAACACAGTGGTCAGTCTTCAAGTTTCACAAATGAGTGAGCTTCATATATTCAGTCCTATCTGGGAACTGGTGAATATGCACATGTCAGAGCCAGCAGTAAAGTGCTGCCTTTGAATTTGGAGAAGCTCTGGTTTGCTGTCATAATAGAGGATTTCAGTTATACTGTGGCTGAGATCTACATAGACTTGGTTCTGTTTGCCAAAACCTATAGGATACTTCTTAAGTCTTGAAAATCTTAGGACCAATGTTTTACTAGGTATACAAGTAGAAACACACTTCTGCCACCCATTTATTCTTCTTTCTACATATATATATATATATTTTTTTCTTGATATCACTAATCTACAATTACATGAGCAACATTATGGTTACTAGACTCCCCCCATGATCAAGTCCCCACCACTTACCCCATTGCAGTCACTGTCCATCAGTGTAGTAAGATGCTATAGAATCACTACTTGTCTTCTATGTGTTGTACAGCCCTCCCCATGCCCCTAGCCAAGAGCATGGGATGAGTTTCCATTTGTTAGTGTCCTCTTTAATTTCCCTTAAGAGTGTCTTGTGGTTTTCAGAGTATAGATCTTTCACTTCCTTGGTTAGGTTTATTACTAGGTATTTTATTCTGTTTGATGCAATTGTGAATGGAATTTTTTCCCTGATTTCTCTTTCTGCTAGCTCATCGTTAGTGTATAGGAAAGCAACAGATTTCTGTGTATTAATTTTGTATCCTGCAACTTTGCTGAATTCATATATTCTGGTAGTTTTGGAAGTGGAGCCCTTAGGGTTTTCTATGTACAATATCATGTCATCTGCAAATAGTGACAGTTTGACTTCTTCTTTACAAATCTGCATGCCTCGTATTTCTTTCTTTTGTCTGAATGCCATGGCTAGGACCTCCAGAACTCTGTTGAATAACAGTGGGGAGAGTGGGCATCCCTGTCTTGTTCCCGATCTCAGAGGAAAAGCTTTCAGCCTCTCACTGTTCAGTATGATCTTAGCTGTGGGTTTATCATATATGGCCTTTATTATGTTGAGGTACTTGCCCTCTATGCCCATTTTGTTGAGAGTTTTTATCATGAATGGATGTTGAATTTTGTCAAATGCTTTTTCAGCATCTATGGAGATGATCATGCGGTTTTTGTCTTTCTTTTTGTTGATGTGGTGGATGATGTTGATGGATTTTCGAATGTTGTACCATCCTTGCATCCCTGGGATGAATCCCACTTGGTCATGGTGTATGATCCTCTTGATGTATTTTTGAATTCAGTTTGCTAATATTTTGTAGAGTATTTTTGCATCTACGTTCATCAGGGATATTGGTCTGTAGTTTTCTTTTTTAGTGGGGTCTTTGCCTGATTTTGGTATTAGGGTGATGTTGTCTTCATAGAATGAGTTTGGGAGTATTCCCTCCTCTTCTATTTTTTGGAAAACTTTAAGGAGAATGGTTGTTATGTCTTCTTTGTATGTTTGATAAAATTCCAACATTTAGGTTGCTTCCATATCTTGGCTATTGTAAATAGAGCAGCGATAAACATAGGGGTGCATCTGGCCAGGGGGTTTTGTTCTTGGGTAGTTTTTTGATTACTGATTCACTTTCATTGCTGGTAATTGGTCTGTTTAGATTTTCTGTTTCTTTCTGGGTCAGTCTTGGAAGGCTGAATTTTTCTAGAAAGTTGTCCATATCTTCTAGGTTTTCCAGCTTGTTAGCATATGGATTTTCATAGTATTCTCTAATAATTCTTTGTATTTCTGTGGTGTCTGTCATGATTTTTCCTTTCTCATTTCTGATTCTGTTATGTGTGTAGATTTTCTTTTTCTCTTAATAAGTCTGGCTAGGGATTTACCTATTTAGTTTATTTTCTCAAAGAACCAGCTCTTGGTTTCATTGATTTTTTTCTATTGTTTGATTCTTCTCAATTTTATTTATTTCTTCTCTGATCTTTATTTTGTCCCTCCTTCTGCTGACTTTGGGCCTCATTTGTTCTTCTTTTTCCAGTTTCAATAATTTTGACTTTAGTATATTCATTGGTGATTGGTGTTCTTTCTTTAAATATGCCTGGATTGCTATATACTTTCCTCTTAGAACAGCCTTCGCTGCATCCCACAGATGGGGCTTTGTGCTGTTGATGTCCTTTGTCTCCATATATTGTTTGATGTCTCTTTTGTTTTTGTTTTTATTTTTTTATTTTGGTATCATTAATCTACAATTACATGACGGACATTATGTTTACTAGGCACCCCGCTTTCACCAAGTCCCCCCCTCATACCCCTTCACAGTCACTGTCCATCAACGTAGTATGATGCTGTAAAATCACTACTTGTCTTCCCTGTGTTGCACAGCCCTCCACGTGCCCCTCCCCACACTATACATGCTAATCGTAATGCCCCCTTTCTTTTTTCCCACCCTTATCCCTCCCTTCCCATCCATCCTCCCCAGTCCCTTTCCCTTTGGTAACTGTTAGTCCATTCTTGGGTTCTGTGATTCTGCTGCTGTTTTGTTTCTTCAGTTTTCCTTTGTTCTTATACTCCACATACGAGTGAAATTGTTTGGTACTTGACTTTCTCCGCCTGGCTTATTTTACTGAGCATAATACCCTCTAGGTCCATCCATGTTGTTGCAAATGGTAGGATGTTTTTTTCTTATAGCTGAGTAATATTCCTTTGTGTATATGTACCACATCTTTTTTTTAAATTTTGGTATTATTAATCTGCAATTACATGAAGGACATTATGTTTACTAGGCTCCCCCCTTCACCAAGTCCCCCCCATATCCCCGTTCACAGTCACTGTCCATCAAAATAGTAAGATGCTGTAAAATCACTACTTGTCACCAAGTTCACAGTCACTGTCCTTCAACATAGTAAGATGCTATAAAATCACTACTTGTCTTCTCTGTGTTGCAGAGCCCACCCCGTGCCCCCCCAACACTATACATGCTAATCATAATGCCCCCTTTCTTTTTTCCCACCTTTATCCCTCCCTTCCCACCCATCCTCCCCAGTCCCTTTCCCTTTGGTAACTATAGTCCATTCTTGGGTTCTGTGCTTCTGCTGCTGTTTTGTTCCTTCAGTTCTCTTTTGTTCTTATACTCCACATATGAGTGAAATCTTTGGTACGTGTCTTTCTCTGCCTCTCTTATTTCACTGAGCATAATACCCTCTAGCTCCATCCATGTTGTTGCGAATGGTAGGATTTGTTTTTTTCTTATGGCTGAGTAATATTCCATTGTGCATATGTACCACATCTTCTTTATCCGTTCATCTACTGATGGACATTTAGGTTGCTTCCATATCTTGGCTATTGTAAATAGAGCAGCGATAAACATAGGGGTGCATCTGTCTTTTTCAAAACTGGAGTGCTGCATTCTTAGGGTAAATTCCTAGAAGTGGAATTCCTGTATCAAATGCTATTTCTATTTTGAGCATTTTGAGGAATCTCCATACTGCTTTCCACAATGGTTGAACTAATTTACATTCTCACCAGCAGTGTAAGAGGGTTCCCCTTTCTCCACAA